GGTTAGAAGTATGGGCCCCTAAGATGGACCCCTAGGCCTTTCTAGGGACCCTTAAGGGTACATAAAGGGTAGATAGTAAGTACATAAGGATCCCACCCTTAAGGGCCCATACTAGGGACCCATGGCTTCAACCGTAGACCCCCAAATCGAGAAGCTTCCGCAATCTACCTTTTTGAGGGTTCCCTATCACGATTTCCTGAAACAGGTCCTCAAAAGGGTAGGTTATTTGGACCCCAAAGGTATTTATGGATATATATATATATATATATATACACACACACACATGAATGAAGTTAAGGATATACAGGTTTACACGGAGAAAAAATCACGAGTGTCAGGGCGCGCGTAGCGAAGACGACGTGATCCACGCCCCGACGCTTCCAGACTTCGGAAAGGCCTGCCTGAATTCAGGGTTTAGGGTTCAGGGCTTTGGGGTTTAGGGTTCAGTGACTAGAACTTTAGGGCTTTTAGGGTTTAGGGGTTTGGGTTTTAGAGCTTAGGGCTTTAGGGTTTGGGGTTTAGTGCTTGAGGGCTTTTAGGGTTTAGGGGTTTAGGGAATTTAGAGCTTTCGGTGCTTTAGGGCTTTTTGGGGCTGAGGGAGTTTAGGGTTTGGGGTTGAGGGTTTAGAGCCAGCCGCAAAGGGCCGGCTACTGGCTAATGTCTCCGACCTCTAAAATCGAAGCTCCCAAAGCTACCACTTTTGTGAGGCTTTCGCGTTTCAGGCTTCCTTTGAGGTTTCTCTTTGGGGCTTCGTTTTAAACCCATTCCAGCCCTAGAGCTCCTCTTTGGGGTGTTCAGGGCTCCCTTGCCTCAGGCATCCCTCCAGACTTGCAAGCCCTAAGGGTTTAGGATTGAATTTCATGGTAATCTTTCCGTGGCCCAGTGCGGATGTTTGAGGGCTTGCGCAAGAAAGCTTCCTAGAGATCGGGCCCCACTTGTTTTTAGGATGTTTTGTTTAGGGATTTCTGGTGAGCTTAACTTAAGCCCTCAGCTAAAATTGAACGGCAGAGGTTTAGGGCTTTGGGTTTAGACCCAAAATCTAAAGCCCCAAGCCAAAGGTCTTACAGCTCAAATCCTGAGCCCTTCAAAAGAGCCCTTACAAAAATAGAGCCTCACGCAGCCTCACACCCTACAAGGGAGTCCGTCCCCTGATTCAACACATTCAATCAACCCGGCAAAGGCTTGACGCTCTGGAAAGTGGAGTGGTCGAGCATGCGCCAAAGCGGAACCTAAGCTTTAAACCCTAAACCCCAAATCGGTTCTGCACGGAAGTCCTGCCTGACCCGAAACCTAAAGCCTAAGCCCAGAGCCTTTCCGACACGCAGGCCTTCGCCCAGGAAGAGGCAGAGCATGCCGGTGGCCTCAGCACGGTTTGCCCTTGGAGGCTGTAGGAATTATATAGTATATGGTAACATATATATATATATAACATATGTATATATATGTATACACTTAATATATGTTTGTATATACATTTATTTATTTACATGGATACACACACATATATATATATATATACATACATACATAGCGAGAGAGAGAGAGAGAGAGAGGGGCACCATTATGTTCAAGGGTTCTTCTGGGGTGAGAGGATACAGGGTTCCCTCGAGGGTTAGGATACAGGCCTTCATCCGGGCTCTCCGTGTGGCTTTAGGTTTTGGGGGTTTCAGGGTTTGGGGGGAAGCCTAAACCCTAAGCCCGAAACCCTAAGCCCGAAACCCTAAGCCCGAAACCCAGAATTAGAGATCCAATGTGATAGGGATGATCCTGGGTTTAGGGTTTAGGGTTTAGAGGTTTAGGGTTTTGGGTTTAGGGTTTAGGGTTCAGGGGTTTAGGGCTCATACCTCTGGGAAGATTCAAGTGGATGTACCCGTACCCAGAAGAACAACATGCTGATTGCCTACCAGGCATGCCTCGAACGTCAAACTCCTACCCCGAATGCTGAAGAGTTCGGCTCCGTTTCAACCCTTCGAAAACCGCAACTACTCTTTTCAAACCGTGAGAAAAAAGAGGTCAAAAGGCTTGCAGAACTCCATAGAGAACCCCTTGGAAGAACCTGAGCCCAATACCCCCAAATCCCTGAACGCCCTAAACCTTGAACCCACCCTGAAAGGAACCCTGAGAGGGACCCCTGAACCAAACAGCCTCAGGTCTTAAGAACGAATACCCTATAAAGCCCTGTTGAGCCCAAAAAGAACCCCGTAACACCCTATCAGCCCTGTAAACTCGTATAAAACTCTTCAAGAACCGATATCAACCATAAAGAAGCCTTATAAATACTATAGATTATATTCCACAAGAGCCCCAAGTAGACCCAGGTCTTGAGCAGCCTCACCGTTCCCTACCTCCGAGTGCCTTTGCTTCTCCACTTCCTGGCGGCCGATCGCCTCCACGCGCTCAAGCAGACGCCCCTTGGGCGGTTTAGGGTTTAGGGGTTAGGGTTTAGGGTTTAGGGGTTAGGGTTTAGGGTTTAGGGTTTAGGGCCCCTCTTGGGCGCCTGAAGCGGGCTTTTCCCAGAGAGCCCAATACCCCTGAATTAAGGAAGATGCCTTAAATCATAATATTAGGGCCCCTATAACTCAAGGTATATCCCTTATATAAGGGGTACTGGGCTCTCTGGGTTGGCATTTTGAGATTTCAGGTTTGGGGCTTCAGGCTCGGTCACTTCGTAGAGCAGTGTCCACCCATGTCAACAAAGCCATTGAAACCTCGCAGAGGTGTGAAGACACCTATATGTAATTACATACATACATACATACATACATACATACATACATACATACATACATACAGGCATACATACATACATAGTTCCATCCGTCCATCCATCCGTCCGTCCTTCCGTTCGTCCGTCCGTCCGTCCGTCCGTCCGTCCATCCATCCATCCATCCATCCATCCATCCATCCATCCATCCATCCATCCATCCATCCATCCATCCATCCATCCATCCATCTCCATCCAGCCATCCATCTACATCCGTCCGGCCGTCCATCCATCCATCCATCCATCCGTCCGTCCATCCATCCATCTCCGTCCATTCATCCATCCATCCATCTCCATCCAGCCATCCATCTACATCCATCCGTCAGTCCGTCCGTCCGTCCGTCCGTCCATCCACCACTTATCCATCCATCCATCCACCCATCCATCTCCATCCATCCAACCAACCTTGAACCCGCAACTCAGCACTTCAGCGGTAAGTTGGATGTTAACAGTTGTTTGGGTTATAAACAGTTTTCAGTTATAGGCATAGGCATTTGTCATGCTTTACGAAAGGGTTATCTGAAGCTGACATGTAATTTTGTTTTGTGCCTGCTTCAACGAGCACTTCCTAGGCTAAAACTGACTTGACATTTGAAGCTTGAAATGTCAGGTTTTTCGTGTCGTTCACCTATTTTGCAGTTCTCAACGCACCAAGACCGCACTCAGCAGATTGATTTCTGTGCATGTCTTGTTCGGCGAACTCCATGAAAACGAACCACGAGTCGAACTGTTTACAATACATGTAGCTTTCTTTTGTTGGGACAGTTGCAGCTCCATACTAGCCGGTTTACATGATCCAGCGACGAACCTCAGGTTCTAACGGCGGTTTTCTGCCAGAACCTGGGTTGCAAGTTTGGTTAGTTTTGCTCCCTCATGGTTTCGTTGAAGTGCCTTTTCCGTATTATTTTTGGCGGGGGCGGGGAAGTAAGCTACAACCCAGGACTGCGATCGAAAGTGCGCAGAACGATCAGGCGACAATGGTGCAAACAATGCTCGACAGCAAAGAGGCGATCTTGGACAAGTTGAAGGCATTGTTTTATGAAATCGATGTGGAAGAAGATGCTGGGAAGAAGCATGCTGGTTCGCTGACAGTTACAATGTTCGAAGAGAAGATGAAGAACCCTGACGTGCATAACTTTTTCGAGTCACTTGGACTGGATGTTTGGGATGCGTGCCCTGACTGCATTGTCAATGTTTGGGCTTTTTTTCAGGGGCCGCCGTCAACATGTTTATCCAATGTGTTGCTTTTCAGGCAGAGTCATGTTCCGCTGTCAGCATTCCGGTTTAGTTGAATCCTCATGTGAGCGTTTTGCCTTCGAACACAAACTCAGCAGTTCCTTGTCGAATGGAATTGCAACTTGTATCAACATCAAAGGTAGGGGTGACTCATATAGTGGCACGGTACCGACGCGATCCTGAGAAATAGCACGCTGACATGAGGTGGTCGTTCTTCAAACTCCTGGATGCAGACGGAGGCCTGCGTGATGGCAGCGGTGGGCTGCACCCAAAGCACACGAATGCATTCACATGCGTATATGTACATATGAAATAAACACGCGTAAATACGCACGTACATGTTAAGTGGACATATATGCATGCATTTACCTCCTTATACATATATATATATACACATGCCTGTACATGTTTATACGTACATGTTGCTTGTACATGTTGCGTATGTTAGTGCAGATGAGCTTTTGTATATACGCAGACATATGCACATCTGCATGCATGCGTACACACATGTGTGCACACATATTCATATGAACATACGTGCACGCAGATACGTATAGAGATACATGTCCACGGACGGATGAAAACATATAGGCATATACAAACACAGACAGACGTATACCCAGGAACCACATGCATACGCAGATATATAGATAAAAGCACGGATATACAAACACATCCATACATATACATAGCCAAACGGACATGCATGAGTATGTGGATGCAGACAGGCATATATGTACGATACATATACATAAGCCGACGTAAGTAGGTGTAAGTGCACGTGCCTTTCCATATACGTACATGCATATATACAAACACATGCAGACCCTTGCTTGCTTATATGTTTGTATGCAAGGTCGTATCGCCCATGTTTAAGCACTCGACCCTGGCCCAAGATTTCAACTCCAGGTCCTAAAGCCGAAATTCCCAAGTCACCACGGTAGCAAGCGCAGAAGCTCCGAACACGTCGATTCAGGGCTTCTTGTGTCGGTTCTATCTTAGATTTGATGGGTTACATGGCACAGTTTCAGGCTTCTTGCTTCAGGCTTTTGCTTGAGGGTCGGCTTCCGGTTGAGAGCTCGGGATGTAGGTCTGGTTTAGGGTTTGGTGTTTAGGGTTTAGGGTTTAGGGTTTAGGGTTTAGGTTGGATGGGGCTACCCTTACATGGCACAAAGTCTTACATAGGTCTGTATGGTGCTGAATAGATATGCTGGGTTCAATAGTTTTCCCAAGCCCAAGACCCTGAACCCAGAGGTGGCGCCGTGGATACCGATGAGTTCTTCCAGGGCCTCTTGGTTTCACAGTGCTGAGGCTGAGGGTTTTCGATTTTCTCGAGTGTGTGGAGGGTTAAACTGTTATCAAGTTATCTGGATGGGTTTAGGGCAGGGTTTCGCTTTTTCAGGTTGTGGTGTGGAATTATAGACCGAGGCATGGGTCTCCGCCCGAAGCCCCAAGCCCGGCGCAAAAAAGCTACAGTGGCGACTAGTTCGTAGTTTTATTCCCTTCTATCCCAAACCCCATTGCAAACCCCAAATCCCTAAACTCCCTACACCTCACACCCCAAACCCGAATCCCTAAGACTTAAACCCTGCTTCCCTGAGTCCTAAACCCCAAGGGGCCCGGAGTGAGGTTGCCTCCGTTTCCGCGGACCTGCCCGGTCGATGGATGTCGGGAAGCTTATCCAGGATCAGAAGTGGATGATCCACAATCAAGGCAAAGTTTTTTTTTTTTTTTTTTTTGGGGGGGGGGGTTTAGGGTTTAGGGCTTCGGTTTGCGGTGTTTTTCTTGGAGTTGAGGGTTTTGAGGGGTGGATGGCTAGAAGCATGCAGATGGGCACACTGAACATCTGTGTGTGCCCCACCTCACCTTGACCTTATTCGGTTTTAAGCTCTCTCGCACAACTGTTCATCCTCAGCGTCTCGCTTTGGGATCGCTTCCACCACAAAACGGCCAATTTTGGGTTTAGGGTTTAGGGTTGGATTGTTTCCTGGTCGATGTGTCTAGGACGAGCAAGCGTGCAGAGGATGACGGAAACTTCCGCTTGCGGCGACATGACGCGTTACTCGCCATCCACCGCACAGGAAGCTGCCACTAGACAGATGCCACTCATGACAGCATGCGCAGTGTCGCATACTTAAAGCACGGTCTCAACTGCGGCCTACATATGAATACAATATGTATGATTGAAAGCTTGAACCCGACACCCTGGCCGTAACGACAGAAGCAGCAATAGTGCGCAAGTAGCCAAAACAGTCAGGTCCCTGCAGCACGATTTCTTGGCAGTGTTCCCTTAAACTAAACCACAAGCTCTCAGTCTCAATTCCCAACACCTCTCTGGACAGGAAAATTCCAGGAGTACGTGCAAGACGAATTGGCCCAAGTCAAGGCGAGGTGTTGCAGAGCTCCGGGTTTAGGCTTTAGGGTTTTGGTGTGTGGGTTATTTAAATTAGGGTTTTGAGTGCAGGAATGTCGGTGTTGGATTTAGGATTTCGGTCCGCCGATGGTTCGATCCCTTATTACACTGGTTTCTGCTTCATCCCACCGTTGTGTACAAAAATCACTGATACTCGTGAAGGTGCTGGTCATGTTCCTGAGAACCAGGGGGCTATACTGGGTTCTTGTCAAGGGGTTTAATTGAAGATGCCATAAAGAAGAAACTAATAGATCCATATAATTATGGTAGCTTAAAATGAGTTAGACCCCGAAACCCTAAACCCCTTAACAAGGCGTCTCGGCTGCAAGCTGTGG